GGTGGCTCGGTTTTGGCCGAGTCCTCCAAATGTTGGTTTTCGACGTTTTTCGGTTTCGCTGTTGATTTGGACTCTGATTTGTTGATCTGAATCCTGATTTGGCAGTAAACCCGCTTTGGTGTTTGAGTTCGAATCCGTTCTATGGTTGGATGACTCACTGACTCACCGAACCGTTAGCTTGATTCCGCATGCGAATGGATGTATTCCATTGTTTGCGTGCGGTTTGTTAGCCTCGTCGCCTCGTTGATCCGCTTCGTCGCGTGTCATTTGGCTTTGGTATTATGGACTAACGATCATGTTTAGATATGTCGCCCGATGGTTCGTTGGTTTGTCGAATCACCGTGCCGAGTTGTGCTAAGGGACCCATAGGCGGTTTTATACGCCTACAGATACCCCCTCCAAAGTATTTCAGCCTCGTTCTTTTATAGAAGAGTCTGGAATACTTTGGATATGATTGTCCCAACCTTCAGTCGGTGTAACGGGACCTTGGAATGGCTTCTGTTCTTGATTCCTTCAATCCTTCAGGCTATTCGGTGCTTCGTCGAATGTCTGTAAGGTTTCCGGTGTTGCATTTATTATCTGACCGTTGTCGGAATTTTAAACTTGAAGTCGATTCCTAATTTTCTAATCTTTTAGCTCGTGTTTGCTGGTTCAACATAGAACTGACCATCGATCGTTGACGTTGAGTCTTTATTTGCGACGCGTTATCCGGCGTAGTGTTGTTGAGTTATCCTTAAGAATATTTTTAGAAAAATATTCTCCAGAAACTTCTCAACCAAAAATAGGGAATAGTTTATACTCGTATACCTTATTGGAGTATTTTTCGTGCCCGAATGAGCTGAACCGGCCTGATAATGACCCAAAAAAGGCAGTAATTAGGCTCAAAAAATCTTCCAAGTCCTTTTTCCCCCACGTTGTTCTCCTTGGTGAGGCAATCGGGAAGAGCCTTGATTCTCCTTGGTGAGGATCGACGCTTTAAAGATGGGTTTTGCTTGGTCAAAACCATATCTCAAAATAAATAAAGGGGGCGTTTTGACGCTGCATTGTGCCTTATAAGGCAGGGATATATTGTCGATATACCCTATCTTATAAATGCGCAATGTGGCCAAATCGTCTCGCCCTTTATAAGGCAATGACTCTATCTTACCAATTTGTAAGATGAATTCAATTTCCTTTTATATCTGAAATTAACAAACACTTAACTGCTTGTTTTCAGTGGAATATCCTTCCGGAGCTTTTTCATCGCATGCGGTGAATGGACGTCGTGATGAGTATTATTCAACATCTGATGACTTTTCGCCCATTCCGCTCACCTCCCAGTTTGCTCCGGGCACGTCGTTGGAAGTTGTCCAAGTGGTGAGGGAAGGTGGCCATCAAGCTCTTCGCCAGCTGATCACAGATGCGCCTCTCGTGCAGGATGCCAGTTCCGTTCAGTCTCTTAGGAAGACTGACTTCTTGTTTGGAGACTCTACCAGGGATCCCGATGCAGTATTTATTGAGGCTGAGCAGTGGCTTTACCAGACTGGCAGTCGTTATATGTATTTGCCGAAGATTCCTCGACACCGTTCTTTGACTGAGCTCAGGCGCCAAGCTGTGAAGCGGGAGATGTCGTGGAGTTTGACAAAGGAACATGAGAGCGTTCACTGCGGCTATATTACTCATCAGGCAGTTCCTGGTTCGAGTCGAGATCACATTGTTGGACTACATCCTGGAGTACTGGGGCTAGATACTCCGCCTCGCAATGAGTTCCTCACCACTGCTTCTACTTTGAGGAATCGCCTCGCTATCTTAGGACGGGAGATGCCTGCACCGCGCCACAGATTCTATGGTTGGGTCCATTCTTTGGACAGGTTTTGGTGGGCTCGTATGACGAAGTATGTCTTGAGCCGATGGAGCGAGGAGTTACATGCTTGCGGTCTTTATGCAGCCATTCGGGCCACTATGCATGGCTTGCCTACAAGCGCGAAGCATTTCTTTGCCCTATGCGAGCTTTACAATCCAGATTCCAACACTTTTCTGACCAGGCACGGAGAGTTGCGTGTTATTTGTTCAGAAATCTAGAGAGCAATTCTGGTGAGGTTATTTGTGAGCTGGCACCACTCACTCCTTCAGGGGTTAATAGTCTACTGAAGAAGATTGACGCTCATTCCTATACCATTAGCAGTCCTGAGAGTGGCTTTCCTGCAGGGACCAAGTTTAAATCATTCTTATGGCATGCGACCGCACCGATTCGGCCGATGACCCTTCTCGCCGGTTACCTCGCCATCTGGTTAAAGAAATGCGTGGTCCCGTATCAGTCCGGTGATGCTTTGCCATTGGAAGTGCTCTACCCAGCGGTTCAACTTGCCTACAAAAAGGAACTTTCGCTTCTTCCGGTGATGGTGGCTAACATTCATCGAGGGCTTCGACAGATTTCTAGTGCTTTTACACGGAAGGAAAGTGAATCGCCGGCTCAGATTCCTACCATTAAGGGGGAGCTTCCGTACACTTATTTGATGGCTTGGTTCGTCCTTCATCATTCTGATATGATGTCGGTACCGAACACCACAGACCACTCTGTTCCCCTACTACAGTTGCTTGAGAATGGCAAGTGGGAGGGACGAGGATTCCCAGACATCAGAAAGCAGCTACAGGTCCACAAGTGTTGGGCATTTTCCACTTGCTTTCCGCAGTTCTCCAGTCGATATGGTGAGTGTTTGATTGATGAGGAGAAGCCGAGAGAGGGAGAAGCCGAGGGAGTATAGGACTTATCTGGATATGGGCTGCTTTAATTGGCTAGTGAACATTAGGCCGGGTTATCTGACCTTCCGGGTGAGGAATCAGTGTTTTATAGAGCCATATCTACCCTGCCAATTCGCCCGCTAGTTTGGTTATGATCAGCTTTATGTCGGGAATCCACGTCAGCAGCTTTGGACTCATGGAGGTTTGGTGGACGGTCTTCGTGCATGGTTGTGGACCGTGACGGGTTGCACTGGTGCTAAGTTCAGTCTCCCGAGTGCTGAGCGGCAGTTGAATCTCACCTTCTTAAGCTGCAGGTGGTTGTTAGCAGCTAATAAAACTATCCTCATGAAGCCGATCGAAGAGCTAGTGGCCGAGGAAGCTTCTCAGGTTGATTCTCGTGTGATTCGGGAGCATGCTCGGTCACAGAGGACACGGAGCAAGACTCGTCGGATTGACGAAGAGGGAAAGAAGATCTTCAATTCTGCTGATGAGGCTTCAGGCGGAGATCTTGAAGATTACGAGGACTGTTCCGAGCGAGGTTAGCTACCTATTCTTTCCTTCTGTCTTCCAAAATTATTAATCTTGACAGTTGTTTGATGTTTTAGGGACCGCAGCTGACAAGGATGAAGAGTTCCGTCCTTTTTCCCAGGCGAGACCTTCGATTGTTGTCCCTGCCGCTAGGCGAAAGAGATTAGCCCACAAGCCGCATGCAGATTCACGAGCATCTGAGATGGATTTGGCTGGTGATGATCCTGCTAGCGACGGAGGTAACATCTACCCTATAGATCATCCATTTGATCATTTAGAACTTCGACTCATGCTTTTCCGTCTCTATGTAGGAGAGCGTGGGGATAGCGAGATGAGTCCTGATCCTGCTCCTCATGATTATGTACCTTCTGGTGAGCCTGACTCACCGTACCAGGTAGAAAAGCCTGCAGAAGCTGCTGACGTTAGGGAGGCTATCAATGTAGGACCCAATTCAGCGAATCCAGGTACATCTACCATTGATAATATATCTTTTAGATGGCACACAAAGAAGTTGAACGATCCAAAATTCGTGCATTCCCTAATCGTCTCTATGCTTCTTACTCTTTTTAGACAAATTGCAGGAGGCAAACGTGGATCTTGGGAATAGAGAGGCTGACA